ACACAGAGTTGTCTTTTTTTTTAGTCCCGTAATTAAAGGTAAAGAAAATTCTGCGAGTAAAGTTTAGGGTCTGGTGTATAAGAAATAAGTTTGAGTAAGAAACGATGTTGATAAAAACTCGCAAACTATTATATTATTTGATTTAAGAGAGAAACCCGTATTTGAGAGTTAACTATATAAGAATTACGAGAGCTCGGAATAAGCGACTTTTTTTTTAACGACAGCTCCCGCACTGGTGATATTTCCTGTGTCGCAGGGGCCTTTACAAACATTTTTGAAATGGACACAAAGAACACCCAGGCATTATAGCATACCTTATAATATATGAAATAAATATATTTGAGTTTGAGTTTCAAATATATGTTTTTAATTTAATTATAAATAACGTTTCAAATGCCTTTAAAAATCCTCTATGACGAATTGGTGTACATATCGCTTTATATATAAAGGTGAATTTATGGTTTAAGTGTGTGTAACTAGCGACAAGCGGAATCGAACTTAATGTTTATGGCACTATAAATAACAAACACAGGACTGGTAATATGTATATAACATGTTTCCAGTTTTGTGTTTTAAATTATTGCTTACCTTCGAACATATCAATAAAAGTTATTGTATAAAATAATAATATGGCCTCAATTCTTCCGCAATAAATGGTCGATAAGATATCAATGTATAAATTGTGTATCTTTTATAAGTTACTCGAACATAAATATATACAATACAAGAATAGTAAAGATTGCTATGTATTTACACGCATTAGAGTTATGATTGTCATTAAAACTTTGTAGTTTATTATTAAGATACTAAATAGATACTATATGTAATATAATCTTATAAAAATGAGAAATATCGTTGTTTAAATATTTTATGAGCAATGTAGAGTCTACGTTGTTTTTGTACGAGTACATTTGTCCCCAACCTACTTGGCATACAACTTCAACAACAATCTACAAAAGTTGGGTTATTTTTAGTACTTAAAATCAGTAGGAAATTATATTAGTTAGAACAATTCCTCGGAGCACTCTTCTTGATATATACGATAGAGAATGCAGAGTGAAGCTACATCGCTACGTTATGCCAAGGGGTCGAGCCGATCGATTCGAGTAGTTCTCCGTTGGATGCGGTTCAGAGGGAGAAGCTGATACTGGGGTGCTCCTGCATAGAGATGAGAACACTATTCCATATGCGGCCAGACTTGCGCCTTATAGAGTTGGAGGCGGAGTGAAATAATACCTCGATGTGTTCAGCACATCCAGCTTCTTCGAGGCTTATTTTAACCTTACCCTCTAAGTGACTCCGAAACTGGAATTCACTCGATATGTCCAACCTAGGATTTTGATACTGGTTGAGGCAGTTAGGTTAGGTTAGGTTAGCTCTGATCGCCCCAAATAGGGCGCGCCTCTGGCGCCCCCAGAGGATATTGGCGGTCAGAGCCATACGCGGATACCGCACGGTGTCCACCGAGGCGGCTTGCGCCTTGGCCGGAACACCCCCGTGGGATTTGGAGGCGGAAGTGCTCGCCGAAGTTTATCGGCGAGTGGCTGACTTCCGGGCGGAGAGCGGATTTCGCCCTTCGCTTTCCGGGCACGGTTGCTTCGGAAAGTACCTGTACTCGGTCGCTAGGGGGGAATTGAGCCCCGCCTGCCACCACTGCGACTGCAGTGAGGATTCGGCCCAACACACGCTGGCGGTTTGCCCCGCATGGGCGACGCAGCGCCGGGCCCTCACTGCAGTCATCGGAGTAGATCTCTCGCTACCGGCCGTAATTCGCTCCATGGCCGGTAGCGACAGTTGTTTTACCGCGGTCGCAACCTTCTGCGAGGTGGCAATCTCGCAGAAGGAGGCGGCGGAGAAGGCCCGGGAGGACGACCTCCACTCGGACCTGATCCGCCGCCGGCGAACCGGGCGGCGGAGGCGCGCTTACCTGCGCCTCATGCCGCCCTGAGTGTGGCCGCGGGTGGACGGGATGGGTTCTCCCCTCCACCCGCATTAGTTGGCCAGCTGCGAAGGGGCGGCGTCCGCGTGTGCCGGACGTCGCCTAAAGAGAGGAAAAAAAAAAAAAATTGAGACGGAGCCCGCAACAGGAGCGGGCCGGAGCGGGGAGGGGTCCAGAAGGCGATAACTACCTGGACCCCTCCTAAACTGGAAGCGCAAAGAAGGCACACCGTGTGGTTTTAGTCGGTTCGAGTCCGACACACCGCCCCGCCGAACGAGAGCCCCGGCGGGGTGACGGTCCGAGGGGATTTCCACACGTAAAAAAAAAAAAAAAGTTAGGAAGGTTCTCTCAAACCGTGATACGACAAACTATATTTTTTGGGTTAAAATGGACTAAATTTAGCCGACCCCATTCTGAAACCCTTTTCTTTTTTACGTGTGGAAACCCCCTTGGGCCGTCACCCCACCGGTTTGCGGCGGGGTGGTGTGTCAGAATCGGACCGACTAAAACCACACGGTGTGAAACTCTGCGTCTGTAATAGGAGAGATCCGGGAACTGCTAATAATACATTCTCCAATTAGGCGACGTGCGGCACACGCGAACTTCGTCTCCTCGCGGCTCGCTGTTATGGCGGGTGCAGGGAAAAACTCGTCTCGTCCACCCACGACCGCACACAGGGCGGCATGAGGCGGTGGTAGGTGCGCCTCCGCCGCCCGGTTCCGAGTGGAGGTTGTCCTTCTCCAACTCTTTCTTAGAGACGACGTGTTCGCAGAAAGATGCGACCGCGGTGAAACATCTGTCACTACCGGCCATGCAGCGTATACGTTCCATGGCGAGCTCCATGGAGAGGTCCCCTCCGATGATTGCAATAAGGACCCGGCGCTGACCGCCCAAGCTGGGCAAATTTCCAGCGTGTGCTGAGCCGAGTCCTCACTGCAATTGCAGTGGTGACAGGCGGGACTTAATTCCCACCTAGCGACCGAGTGCAGGTACTTTCCGAAGCAGCTGTGGCCGGAAAGGGTCTGTGTTAGTCGGTGCCCTATTCTGCTATTAGACCTGCGCTACTTTATGGTAGCGAAGCCTGGGCATTAAAAAAGGCGCATGAGCAAAAGTTCCACACGTATGCGAGGATGGACAGGAGGAGTCACACTCAAAGACAAGGTTCACAATGAGTACATCAGGGGGAGCTTCAAAGTTGCAAAGATAACGGACAAACTGAGCGAGTCCAGGCTGAGATGGTACGGTCACGTAATGCGTAGAACCGAGGATCATGTCCTGAGGAAGTGCCTTTCTAAGTGCCTTGCTACTACAAAGAGGGGAAGAGGAAGACCTCAGACCTCCTGGCCGACGAATGTCTAGAGGGACATGAAGGAACTGGGTCTGAGAGCGATGGACAACGTGGCGTCGCATGATTAGAAAAGCCGATACTGTGTAGCGGAAGAAGGCGAGGCCAAATAAGAGAAAGATTAAAGGAAAGTTAAGGTGAACAAAATAACTTACTTAAGTTACTTTCTGTATTTTTTAAAGATACTGAGACTGTATATTGTTCAATTAAATTTCAATTATAATTGAGTGATTGAATGATATTTCTAAAATACCACAAAGTTCAATAAATGGTGATTCTGTAAACTAGAGGTGCTTGTCAAATACGAGTATCATTAGTAAACCATCATGTATCAGTTGAAATATAATAAAGGAAACAGTTTTTATTAAACTACAAGAAATTACAAAATAATATTATTTAATGTAAATTGTATGTGTTTAAAGCAAGATATTTCATTAGCATCCATTATGCCAGTGAATGTCATGCATATACCACCTGGCGAGTGCTGACTATGAATATCAAATATAGAGGTTCGTACCGTAATGAGAATGTGAGTGATATGGATGCATTCATACATATATAGGTTGTACATGATCTTGTAGTGGAATGTCACCTAGTTTTTGTGAGGATCAGCCTCCTCAGCTAGCTCAAGCAATTAAAAGGTGAACATCCATGACTATACAATAATTAAATTATCATTAATTATGCTTCAGATAAATCTTTAAAATATATGTTTATACACATTACGAAAATAACTTGATGATGAGTTATGATCCTACAAATTATTATTTCATTCAAGTTTGAAGTAAACCACCGGGCCACCGTTTGAAAGTTTAATACGGAATTGAACGGAAGAGTTAAGTCAGTTGGCGATCAATTTTGATAGCGAACACGTACGAGTAGTTCGATAAAAATCACCATTTAAAAAATTACAGGTTTCCTTTATTTTATTTCAACTGATACTGATATGAAAATCCAATTAACTAAATATAATGAAGTGTTACATTTTCCTGTTTATGGTTTTATAGTTGGAAGATGTATTGTTTCCACGTATTTCCTAAGTATTATGTTGTTTTACAAATATAAATTCCAACATTGTCCATGATGGTGGTCAATAATTTGTTCCTAGTCAGGAATTTTAATACTAATTGTAATAAACTTATAAATGTAATAAGAAACGTAAATAAAAGTAAAATAAAGTTTTCTTTTACATTGTCACATCTATCGGGATTGCCACTCCTAAACTTCTTATTTTTGTTCATTGGGATAAAGGTGTAGTCACCAGTTGCCTTCATATCTACGTATTATGTACTACACATGAAGTATTTTTTTTTAAACTCTCTAGGTTCAGAAAATTATAAGTAATAAGTTTAATATACACATTACAAGCTTTGTAAAGTCAAGCGGTGCGCTACCGAGTAATAATCATGACATGACATGTGTAAAAGCAAAAACCTGATAATCGTGTTTAGATTAATAGATAATAATAATAAACATGATCGGCAAGATGGAGCGCGATACGCACAAAAAATGTTATGAGCGGACAGTGCAGAGGAAACACGAGACACGTGCGCAGGCATTTCACGTTCAACAAATTAATTGTTTTATTTCTTTATTTACTATATGTTTTGTTATTTGAACATAACGTGTAAATAAATAAGAAATTAAGTTAAAAAAATAGAATAATAATTAAAGGATAAAAAATCAAAAGTTAACCATTTAAAATTCAGTGAAAAAATGACAGTTAAAAAAAAAGATGAAGACAATAAAAAAGACCCAATTCCACAACCTAAACAAAAGGGTGTTCCGAACGTTTTCGCAAGATCATTGTTTTGTTGGATGTTGCCTGTGTTTTGGAATGGAAATAAGAGGGACCTAGAAGAGTATGACTTAAGACCTACGAAAGCCATCTATGACTCTCAAGTTGTTGGGGAGAAATTAGAAATGTAAGTGTAATAACATTAATTTTAATCAATTTCTGCGCATCACATTTATAATAACTTTGTTTAGTCGTAGTGTTGGCCGGTAGTGGTGTTTTCGTAATATTCTTTACTCTAAATTTTGATTAGTTGCAGTTTTATAATACAAAACTTAGTCACTCCTTCTGATATTTTTCTTGCTACTGGTCTTAGCTTATGAAATTGAAGATTTGTGTGAAATTTTTAAAATATAAAAATGTTGGCTATCTTTTTATTTTAGCTAATCAAAGTACGCCAGTACTAAATTTTCCATAAAAACATTGCATGTTTGTGGTAGTTTGTTTATCTCTTTACTGTACAAGTCTGCATGACGGGAGGCGATGAAGTCAGCGAAAGCGTATTGTACTGCCTCTCGGGAGTTGATTTTTTTCCCATTTAAAAATTGTCAAAATTTTGAAAACATTATAAATCTGTTGGGGCAAGGTCCGGTGAGTACAGTGGGTAGTGGAAGCTTCCAGCTGTAACTCTTGAAGCTTGAAGCACGTTGTCGTGGAGAAGCACTGGGAAAGAGCGATTGATGAGTCGTAGTTGTAGAATTGCTAACTTCTCCATTATTGTTTGTTAGCAATGGACATCTGCCGTCACTGTTGTGTCAGCTGTGATGTACAAGTCTGGCACAGTTCCACCAAACAGTCACTATCATCTTCCTATGTGTAATCTTTTTTTTTTGCGCACTGATTAAGTGCTGTACCCGGGTCCACCCACTAAGACGAACGGTTCCGGTTGTCGTACAGAAGCCAATTTTCATTGCAGGAAACAATTCGATTCAGATTCCCTGGTTTCAGTAGTGCTATGCATGCTTTTTTATCTTTCCGATTTGATGTAAGTGCTAACTTTAAAGCTTGCAGCAAGCTTAGCCGTAGATTGTGTTGGATGCGCTGCCACTATCACCTGCAATTCGTTGTTGTCGACTATAGTTCCCGGCGGACCACGTCTTCCTTCAACTCAGAATTTCCAGATCTAAAACAATTGAACCAATAATGGACACTGTTTATGCAAGCAATGTTAGGCCCGTACACGTCGTTAATTTTTCGTCATGTTTGTGCAATCATTTAAATTTATTGTGCACTAACTTTCGCCCAAAGAGATTTTCTCAGAGAAATTGACCTTTTTTCGTAATGAAAGTACCCTACATTCCTTTCTGTAACCAAAGTGTTTACAATACTTTATTTTCGTAAAGTATGGCGTGCAAAAAAAAAAAAAAAAGAATCAAATTAACTACCGAGATCTATTGAGATCAATTTATACTGATGTATATTAAACATGTTGTTTTCGACATGATAAAGTTTGATATGTGTTGTGATACGTTTTATTTAGCAGGAGATACAGAGTCTGTGATAAGCACGGTAAAACATATTTTCTCTTTAGTTTTATAACCTAAGTAAATATTACAGTTTGACTTGACTTTGGCTTACATCGTTCAATGTCGCTCAGCCACAAATATGTATAACACCTGACGCGCCCGCACGTCACTTAAGAGTTAAAATAAAAATTACTTTTGATTAGTTTCTCTCTCTTCAACTCTACAACAACTGTTTTCTTTAAAATATTTACATAAATATAAAAACTAGCTATTGCCATATGGCTTTGCTTGCGTGATTATTTTTTATTTCGTGTTTGTAACTTTGAAAATGACGAACTTCTATACAACCGCTCGTCCCATATTTTACCCCTTACATGTAATATTTCTAAAAATCCTTTCTTAGTGGAGGCTTACAACATAAAAAGAATTAGATGTATAAATTTAAATTTGGAGCTACAGCGGTTTAGGCTTTGCGTCGATGAATCAGGGTAGTCAGTCAGTTCCAGTAAATTTATATGTAAAGATGAACAATAATAGGCACACTAACTAAGTTCTGAAAATGGCAAAGCGAGGTGGAATCACAATTTCTTATAATAGTCCGTGGAGATAAGCATTTATTACTTTGACATGAATTGAATATTTATTTCAAAAACGCTTCGTTGGGTTAAGTCTCTAGTAAATAAATATTAACAAAAAAAAAACTATGAGGCACGAACACGATACGTGAGCGAATCTATTGTTTATAATAAAATATTGATGATAATAGGACTATAAATCAAATGTATGGTTTGCATAAGAAAGTAAAATGAAAAACAAAACTGTGTGAAGACTTATTGCTTCAATAAAGAATATTATCTAATATAATATTTTTTTTAAATCTTCTTGTTATGCTTGACTGACACTAATTTCTATCGTAATACCTGATTGAAGTGTCAAAATTATCACGATGTATTTTGATAAATGTTTGGAAAAGAAATGATAACATTTAGATCGACAGATAGATAAATCCTTCGTTTCTACTTTATACAAATTACACACACATGAACATACCCATAATTACAAACAGTTAATACTGAGTAGTAAATACAACGAGTTTTCTTATCAGAAACCCCGATGTCTTTCAGGAACCCTTTGTATCGGACGAATACTAAAAAAAAGCACTAAAAAATCAGCAGCAATCGCAGACATTTGCTGACATTTTTTGAAGAGTTATCCGTTATCTGTCTCCGAAACTCATCGTCAGATCTATATGAAATTTAAATGGGCACCACTTTGGCATAAACCTCTTTCGAACAAAAAAAACAATTTTGAAAATCCGTTTATATGTCATATATAGATGGATCTTCAAAATTCTTTTTAGTTATGCCCGAAGATACATAAAAAAATGAAAACATCCGAATTTGATAACTGAAGTCGGTTACAAAGTAAAATACATGAAGAATTAGCGGAGTTGAACAAGACTACTAAAAATGGTGATAGAGTTTAGAAATAATGTTATAAAAAACTAGAATGTGATGTAATGCTGTTGTGATTTGATTTGCTCTAATTTCTACATTATTACATTCCACAAACGGATTGCAGTTACCATGAAGGACTTATCAAAGAATGAAGAAATCACGAATTTGAACCGTTCTTTGAGATAGTAAAGTGGCCAAACATTGTGTACACTCGGCAAAATGTTAATATGCCGGCGAAGACGTATAAGTAACTATTAGAGTTGTTTTTAAAATTCAGAAATTGTACTGACCAAATATAAATCTAATAGAATTAAACAGCTAATTTCTAACAGAAACACATTTTATTTTACCTTAAGATCGAAATAGCACATTGTATACTGCATAAGTAAAAAATTCAGTTTAAGTATTGTCAAATCAAAATAATATAGTCAACATTTGACGACATCAAACTATGCAAAAACTAATTTAAAAATTATAAAAATAATATTGCAATAGTAGTTTTGATAGTTGAAAGTGGAACCCCCTTTCAAATTTCAACATTACTTACATAACAAGATCACCAATTAAATTAAAAAAATAAAAATAAAACAATTCCTAAATAATTCAGCAAACAAAGGACGGAACCTTATTTAACCACTTTATCAAGATTTTCGATCAGGAAGTCCGTGGTCAGAATACACTAGTTTCTTTTTATAACACTAAATTAGTAGTATGTACTTTAATACGACCTAGGTGTGTAAAATAACGTCATCATAAAGTAATAAGTCATATATTAAGTAATTAAATTCTGTTTCTTATAAGTTTTCCGTAACTAATGGTTTAGTTAAAATAAAATTTAACATTGTCAAAGAGGAACCCACCACCTCCCTGACCCTGTTAGTTGCTTTTCTAATTAAAAACAAATTGATGGAACTCACGAAAGAAGTAAACCATACCTCTTTTTCGACTTACAAACATCAGCATCCAATTTGGCTACACATTTAAATACATGATTCTCTCTAAGCCCAGCTCTCAAATGTTAATATTAAAAATTTAAAAGTGATGGTATTAAACACGCTCGTATCCGCATTGCTTGCATCTTCGCGTGTGCTATATGAAATTTTAATACAAACTTCTAAAGAACAGTTTTATTTAAAAGTGAAAAACGTGTTGCGCTCTACCGAGCCGCCACGTCCGAAGACGTATAAATATTACATGAGAACTACATTGTGCTTTAAAATCTTTTTAAATGGCGTAAAATACCTAATTGTCATGTTGCATAACAGAGTACGAGCTTAAAACTACAAGACTTAAGACCGGACTTTGCTTGTTATATGTATATTTAGAGTTTCTACAAATCTGTACTACACAGCTAATCGAAATCCGATTTTTTGGTATACCGTTATATATGTGGTGTAACCTCTGTTTTAGGTACAATAATATTCTATTTATCAGCTTTTAATGAATGGTGATAACCATGATTATCTCATTTCCTTGCCTCTTCTTCGATCTCTGCTTGTAAAGCGCTATCTAGGAAACGAAACGGTACCTACAACAAAGGTATCCACCAAAAAACAGATCGTTCAATATAAAAAAAAACTAATACGGATATAACAAATAATGAAAATTATTTATTATTAAGTCATTTGATTCATAATAAAGTAAACAAAGCAGTGTACATGGAAAATATTACTTTGTAACAGAATATGTACTTAACAATTGTTGCGCAACCATTAGCTTCTGAAGAGAAGGTGATAAGCTTCCCGTAAGCAGAAGTATCGGGCATGATTATAATTAGAACAATTAATTGGATAAAAAGAGTAAATTGCAAATAAGTTATTTTAATATTTTTATTTAAATTACAAGTTTTTATCTTACTCTTGACAAATACTCGTATGTCATCAAAAACTACAATTATCACAAATAGAAAAAAATAATGTCTGTAATAATTTATGGAGAACAAGATGGAGAATAGCGTAGACTTTCCAAATACTTCATCTGTATTTCTATTTTTAAAGACTCCAAATAAAATACAATCTAAGATGAATCTAAAACTCATTCTAGCAAGTATTCTCAGAGCAAAATATGCCACGAACTTTAATTAGAACCGGAGGATATAAAGAAAGAAACAAATGAAAACATAAGAAATGTGTAGGATAAAGACTAGTTTAAGTATAACTTGTTAGTTGGTAGTTGTCAGTGCCTGATGACAAACCTTTTTTTAACTC